GGGCTGGCGCGGTGTCAGCGACGAACGGGCCGTGCCCATTCGCTTTGGCATTCGCAGTCCTTAACAAACCACCTGCTAATTACCCTGAGGAGGCGTTGAACCTGCAGCGTATCCTCCGTGCGGATCGTAGCCCTCCCGTCAGCCTTGCCGGTGCTCCTGAGTGAACCTCCGGGGGAGTCCATGCCAGTATTAAATACAACACAACCACTCTTGTGCGTCAACACAACCCAGTGCGAGTGTTGTTCTCGTTAGTACAGAAAGTATGCGGCATCATCCTTGGGACAGCTTGTGGCAATGGATTATATATCTTTGAATGTTGCAAAGTAATTGTAGTTCCAGGACAAAACTCTGTGGTGAATGTATTGCTGTAATTCTTAGGTGCGCTACTGAGCTAGTGTTTTAGATGCTCTACGGGAGACCGGGGTATTCAGAGTAAACTTAGAAACAAAGATCCAAGAGTGTGGCTTTTTCTGATTATACTTGCCAAAAATGTAAGTCACTTGCCATCTGATAATTAACCACCCCACTGCTGTGAGAACTTGCTGAGCTGAGCATTAATTGAAAATTAAACCGTATATCACAGTTAGGTCCATCTGATAACAGAATCACTTTGTGTTGTAAGGAAGCAACCCAAAAGGGCTTGGGGACAACCTTGAAAACCAAACTGATGGCTATGTTTAGTTTCAGCGAGCTAATGTGACCATTTTAAAAAAATGTAGTTGTTTGTTGGATTGCTGTATTGGAGAATATGAATTTTTGTGGATCAAATCATTCTAGTTATCGGAGTAAGCTGTCACTTTTAAATAGGTAGTGCTCAAGACAGTGGCTTGGCTAGCGGTAGCAATGTGACCATGAAGCCCAATTAACTCAAGAAATCCTGAGCCAGGCAATGAATGGTATTATGTTTTCATATTTCTGCTAAAATGCAAATAATATTACAATGAAACAAATTTAAGGTTCACTTTCCTTTTATGTTAGGAACTAAAACTCCAGTCAAGGAGAAAAGCAGAAGTGAAAAAAACCAAAGCTGAAGTGTATTTTACAGTGTCCAAATGTTGTGTGTAAGCATATTTTTGAGAAGCAATTGCTTCTTGTGTCAAGGTTTGAGGGTATGCAGAACATCTGAAAATTGACAGGTGTTTCAGAGAACATTGCCAAGTTGTCACGGGCCTGTAGACTTTTAAATTGTCGTGTTACAGTCATATTTAAGGTAAATACAATCACATGTTTTCAACAGGACACTCAATGGAGAGAAGTAAAAAAAAATCCTTGCTAACTCTGATTTTTTTTTTTGACAATTGCATTTAAAATAGCCATTTCTATAATAAAGCAATACAAAGTCTTAGATCATAATGATTGTAAGGTAAATATAATTGGATAAATCTATCTCCCTTTTTTTTTATTATGACTGGATCTGCGTTGATCTGTAGGGACAGCAAATGCATCGGAGTTTCATGAGTCCAAAAACATAAGCGACTCCTTGTGCCTGTATTGTTGCTGTATGTATATACAGAATTTTCATATACTATTGTTGCTTAGAAGCTTAGTCATGTACTCCTAATAAGTTCCAGTAGGAGCCAAAAACTAGCTGTTCCCACCTAATGTGCATTACAAAAATCCACAGGTGAGCTGGGAGCATGACTGATGCTCCCCTACGCAATCAGACGGCATGTCTAAAGCAGTAGTAGCCATTTATGTCTGGAAACTAGTTGACAGGTGCTGGCCTTCCACTCTTTCTAATTTCAAGATATTTGAGATTAGGAAGGGGTCAGTTGGTTTGTTTTACTGCGTGGGTTCAGACTTGTATCATCCACCTGACATGAAGCTCTCCCAAGTCAGGCTTTCATGAGGGCAGGAGGAACAGAGTTCTTGACTTCTGAGAGAGTATGATCAGACAGTTGGGGTATGCAGGTAAGAATGGGGAAGCTGGGGTTCTGTTCTCTGATCCTCATGTGTGTTTTAGCAAGTGTTGTAATGCAGAAATTCTGCAAGTGAGATTATCATTCTAAAGGCAGCTGAATTTTGGGAAAAAAAAGAAAAGTTTAAATCAAAAAAGGCTTTACAGTTGCAGCAACAAAACATAGATGAAGCATTTTAGAGACCAGCTTTTGGGCTCTGCACACCAGTGAGGGATGCAGTTTAAGACACTGCTCTCACCTGTATGCTTAGCTATGTCCCTGCTTATTATGCTGGCTTTTGTTAGTAACCTCCAAATGTTACTCACAAATAGATATAAATTTAGTTCTGGGAGACAAGACGTGCAGAAGCTAGGTGCAGTGACTAAGCTCTTTTAAAAATGTGATCAGGGGAGGAAGCAGAAGTAGTTATTTACACCCACCTCCTAGACAATAGCATACTTGTTAAGTGTGTGTGTGCATATATATATGTATCTGCCTGTAAACAGTGTATTGGAATTGAGTAGAATGTATAATTTATGCCCCTGAAATAATAGTTATGTACAGTTCAAATAACCCTCTCCTGAAACTAGATATTGCAGCCCTTAGTATCTCTGTGAACTGTGCTCTTCTCATACAGGTGCAAGGACTGAGCAGCAAAATGTAGCTTTTCCACTGATTTCCTTTATAAGCTCTCTTGAATTCAAATGTGGAAGATTTTCAACAGCTTAAGTGTACTAGAATTATAGGGGGTGGTGTGTGTTGGTGGTTCTCTAGCATTTTCTCACTGTTTCAAAGGGTATAAGCATCCATTTATCTTGGGTCTATCATCGAGATAGTTCATTTGGGTGGAAAAAGAGAATCAGCTGTGTAAATGTGTCTTTCTGCCCTGTTGTTAAAGGGTGAAAGAGTTCTGTATTTCCTGATTTTTTTTTTTAATGGATAAGAAGCATTGACAGAGCATATTAAAATGTGATAAAAATTGAGGAATGTCCAAAACATTCATTGTGTAGGAAAGAGATCTTCGTGCCGTGACTGCTGCCATGAAATGAATAATTGTAGTTAAAAAGCCAAATCGACTTTAAGGCTTGACTAGGAATGAAGAACTGAAAGACGGTAGATTATCGTTGCGTACATCGTCAGTGTTGTGTGCAGTTCTAGTAGCCCCATCTCCAAAATGATACAAAATGTAATAAAATCTACAGAGAGGGATAGCAAAGAGGGCCAGAGTTATGGGATGCCTTTTATACAAGTGGCCAAGCAGAGTAGGTTAAATATGTGACAGCGTATGAAGTCTACAAAGTCATAAATGGTTTGGAGAATATGTATATGCAACAGTTACGTTACTTCTACACTGCAAAAATGTAAGTCAACTGAGGAGGACATAACAGCCTGAAAAGCCATTGGTGCCGGATAACTTGGGATATAGCCAGCGTCCTTAGGTCGGGGGTTGTTGGGAAGGGCTCACTCTGTGTGGGTTCGTCATCCTCAGCGGCTGGCTGATCCCTGGGGACAGAGTGCTGGGTCAGGGGTTCCTGCTGTGGACCCCGACGTCATTCCTTCACTTCTCAAAGTCCTGGTTTCGTTATTTTGTCAAGAGATGAAGACAGATACCTCTATCCCTTTAGTTAAGCTATCTGTCGAGTGTAACCTGGAAATGTGGATGTAGGAAAAAAAACATTTGTGTTGGCAGTTACTGTACAGGAAAGCTCTTGGATAGCATTGAAGCTGATAGCAGTGGTCAAAAGCATGGTTCCGTTTCAGTGTACATCAATTTGATGCTCCACAGAATTTAGTCAATAATATTTTTAAAAGTGAAGTCTTTAGATCTTCCGCAACCTTACAGTATTCGAGTTTTGTTCTTGATCTAAAACTTCTCCACACACTGAAGGACTAGCTCAGGATATTTAAGGTTTAAGTTCTTTCTAAAGGCAATGCTTGTTTAAGATTACTTTAGCAGGAAAAAAAAAACCCCACCAAGTTAGCCTTGAACAAATGAGATGAGTTTGTTGAGAGCAGTGGTGGTTTGTCTGTCTGCTGTAGCTGAACAGAGCTGTTCAGGACTGCTGCAGTAGTGCTATTTCTAGATCAGCATAAACTCAATATCTTGTTCAGCAAAGGAAGCAAAGATTACGTGATCCTCTCTCTGCCAGCTAATAGCTTCTGAAGTTGACTCTTTTCAGCTAGGCTCATTAGCGTGTAGGTCTCATCTGTCAGAAATCTGGCAGCAGAGCAGATACTAATAAAAGTGCTGAGGGAAGGGCTGCAGCTTAATAGATATCAAAGAAATCAGAGAAGGAGAGACCTTGAAGAAGATCCAGAGAAAAACAGGCTTCAGTTGTTCCCTGGACCTTGAAAGTGCGTGTTTGGTTTAGCTAACCTTAATACAGATATTAGGACAGATCATAAATCGTTCTAATTCTTGATAATGTGTTTCACTACAAGCATAAATCAGGGCAGTCCATTTCATAAAACTGTATAGGCATTGTAGTTCAAATGATACCACTCTTTAACAGTTTGTTGCCATAACTTGGTATATGTTGCACCAATCTGAGTGTGAATTCTAAATAGGGAGTTCACAATAAGTGTAGAAATACACAGTTTATAGGCAGACGGAAGCTTTCTTCTGCTACACTTGGAGCTAGCCTGCTGAGCCCAAGTTAATTATTTCCTGCCGTTCACATGCTGGAGCTATACATTAGGGAGAGGTAATGCGGTCAAGCAACTTCAGTTGGCTTGGGCTGGAGGGTGAGCTCATGGCTGCTCAGCATATGTTATGCATACTGTCCCGGTAGCCTGTATGTACAGATTTCAAATACTTCTGGGGGTTTTTTTTTGAGCTACACTGTTAAAGACAGATAATATTGTATAAGCCAAACTAACACTGATCATCTTTCTTGTTCATCTACTGGTATTTTACTATTCCTGGCAAAACAGTATTAGTGTCTTCATCTTCTCTATTTTAGGAGAGTTCTTGGGCATTAACTAATTTTTTAAAAATTTTTTTTTAATCCTCTAACTAATTAGATGGCCAAAAAAGGAGCAGCAAAGCAAGTTTTCTTATGCAAAACTTTTTTTTTTAAATTAAAAATCTAAGTAAACTTTTAAAAATTTAACCTCTCTGGAAAGCATGTAAAAGCTGAGCTCTGCTTGTTATATTGTATGTGTGTTTGGAAACATCATGTTGTCTGGAGTATCTGCTGTTTGTGTTTTGGTGTGTTCTCTTTCCCCCTCCACCTCCCCCTCCAGCAGTAATGGCCCACCTCGGTGTTAAATTTGTTTGAGGCTGTAACTGAGCATATAGACAGTCACAAAATCATTTACATTGGGAGGCACCTCTTGAGATCATCAAATAGGTCTGAATGGGCTTTTGGAGTTGAGGTGTAATAAGATTGCAAAATAAATGCTATGTCAACTTGCTGGCTTATTAATCAATTTTCTTTACTCTCCCATTGTAAATTAATGACTTTTTTCTGTTATAGATTGACTATACAGGAACAGAGCCTTCTAGTCCCTGCAACAAATGTTTAAATGTGTCCTGGGACAGCACGCCACCCTGTACCTGCATCATCAATTTCACACTGGAACATTCATTTGAGGTACACTACCCTGCAAAGTGAAATTAGAACAGTTTAAATGGTTTATTTCATAATTGATAGGAAAGCTGTATCACTTAGTCTTAATTTTTTTTCTATTTTAAAGGATTATTTCTAGTTTTTGTATGAACTTGGATCTCATTTCTGTGTGCCTTTTCAGTAGCAGGGATGAGATATTTTTTTAATGCCTCTCTTTGTCTGGAAATGTACAACATTAAATGGAATGCTTGTGTTTTACACATTTAGATTTACCATATGTGCCATAGCCAGCAATTAGATCAGCTGTTACTGCATGATATAAAAAAACCTCGGTTCAACAAGAATTGGAAATACCAGATAAGTGCTTTTTGTCAAATTGGAGGCAAATAATGAGGCTTATGTGCTTAACATTGGACAAGATAGGTGCTGGAATTAGTGCTGGTGAATATCATTCTGATAGTTTACAGCATGTTGCTGCTCTTTGATTTCAGGATGCCAGCTGATGTTAGGATAGTACTCTGTGTACTCAGTGTGAAGACAGGATTGAGGCTCCTGCTTTATGAATGTTGCTGTAAAGTAAAGACAGAGTTTAAGAGGTTAAAATTTAAGCCTTATGATAATTAGTGTGTTCATATGTGTTATTGATCTGGTTTTTTGTGTGAATGAAAGTACCTCTTGCCCCTTCTTGCTTCTTGTAGAGCAATGTATTCATGTACTATGGACTTTCCAACTTCTATCAAAACCATCGTCGTTATGTGAAATCTCGAGATGACAGCCAGCTAAATGGAGATAACAGCTCGCTACTTGTAGGTATTCATGCTTGCATATTAATAACCAACAAACTTTGGACTATTGCATAAATCACCACATAGCAGAGTATTTAGTTTAATAATAATAATGAGGTACTAGAATTGTTGCATAATCAAAAACAGCCATAAGGAATTTATATTTTGTTTACAGAAAATAACTGTGTAAAATACTGTAAAATTTCATGTTAATCATTTCATTAAGTGGATTGCAATGCAGTACTTTGATTGCTTCTCAAATTTGAATAGTTTTAAACTGCCTTGTTATCTTCAGTCAGTAGTGTCTATCTGTATCCATTCTGTCTGAAGCTTTCATTTTCAGTATAAAATAATATTCGGTTACTTAGCATTTGGTTTGGATATTGCAGCTAAATGCATCCGGTTTTATAGACTCTGGTTCATTATTGAACATCAGCAATATCGGAAAACATCAGTACTGTGTATTCTATTCAAGCCACTGTGTCCTGTTTAGGGCCAGACCTCTCCTCTTCCTAATTTGGAAAATACAAAAATGTTGTGCAAAATACAGTGGAAATACAGTTGGGTTCTTGCTCCAGCAAGAATGATTCTTCCTTTTTACCTGTAAACTTTAAAAAAGGGGAGAGTTTCAGGAAGCTACATCTGATGATTGACACAGGGTTTTGGGGGGAGCTTTTTTCTGCTTGCATTTTTGGCATGCTGTTGGAGTCCTTGCAAACTCTTTTCATTTTGTTACATTTGGTTTCTTATTATAGTCTTATTTTCTATAACACTGATGCATACTCAAGTATTCTTCTATTAAAGGGGGGTTTTTTTGAGTACTTCATGTTGGAAAATTGTTTCTATTAAAAGATAAAAAAGTTCTAATAGCTTGCAAGAAAAGCTTTATTTTTAGTATGACCATGATAGGATTCTGACTTTATTAATGTTTTATTTAGATTTTATTCCTGCTTGTAAAAGAAAAATCAATCATGCTAACTAGTATTGAATGCTGAATTATTTCAAAATAACCTGATTTGTGAAAAGATTTTGTGGTACAGTTAAGATGTGCACATTATTGAGGTACTGTAGTAAAAAAACAGGTGAGTTGGATAAACTAGCACAGACTCATCTCCCTTTTTTCTTTCTAACTGTCAGAATCCGAGTAAGGAATGTGAGCCTTACCGCACAAATGAGGACAAACCCATTGCTCCTTGTGGAGCTATTGCCAACAGTATGTTTAATGGTATGGTAACATAATTTTAAGTTATCCCTTAGATGTTTTTGTGATCTGGTGTATGTTTTGATGTTTTTGTGATCTAGTGTATGTTTTGTGTTGTGTTGCAAATTGTTCTGAGTAAAGACATTGTGGGCTTTTTTGTTTTGAATTAACACATTTTCATTGTTCAGAATAAAATAAATATCTTGTGTTGTACTGCTGATGCTTTTTTCAAAATTGCTATCAGAATTAATTTAATCTGATAGTGTGCAAAGGATGGAAATACCTGTTGTGAGAAGCTGTTACTGCTGTGGAGTAGACATATAGATATCATCCATGGATAATACGCTATTATCTAATATACATTGATTCTTACAGAACAGCTTGTGATTGTGGCAGGCAGATAATAAATGCCTTGTCCATTTTTTTGTTTTGTTTCTCCTGGAGGCAATTGTTTCACTGCCTATCAGGATCATCTGTCTAATGAAAGTTTCTTCAGCTGTTTTTCTAATTTGATTTTTTTCCTTAGATACATTGGAATTATACCGCATTGATAATGACACAAGGACTCGTATTACTTTGATTAAAAAAGGCATTGCATGGTGGACAGATAAAAATGTGAAGTTCAGGAATCCTACAGGAGATGGAAATAACTTAACTGTGCTTTTCCAAGGTAAAAAAAAAAAAAAGTGAAATGTTAAGAACAAAAAAACACTTCAAACACATTTTGTTTCCAATGAGTTTTACCTCACTGACAACATTTTAGTGAACATGCTAATTAAAAATATTGTGGTTTTCTGAAGAAATCCAAGGTAAGGACTACTCTGCTATCTAGAAAGGTTGTCTTTAAATAATGAAAGCTGCAAATTTCATGTGAAAGTGTTTGGGGTTTAATTTTTTTGTAGTCATTTTTTCTTTTAATTTCTATTTTTGGGGTTTTTTTTTTTTGTTACTTTGAATACTGAGAAAAGCCTAATATGTGCACTGATGTGGTTTAACCCTGGCTGGCAGCTAAGCACCACACAGCTGCTAACACCCTCTCCCCTTCAGTGGGATGGAAGGGGAAGAATCAGAAGGAGAAGAGTGAGCAAACGTGTGGGTCGAGATAAAGACAGTTTAGTAATTTTAAAAAAATTTTAAGGGAAAAAAAATACACCAGCAAAGGGAGAGGAAAATAAAACCCAAGAAAAACCAAGCGATGCAAAAGCAAACAGTTGCTCACCACCAACCAAGCAATGCCCAGCCAGTCCCCGAGCAATGGCAGCCCCCAACAACCTTGACCCGCCCAGTTCTGTTGTTGAGCATGATGTCATATGGTATGGAATATCCCTTTGGGCAGTTGGGGTCAGCTGTCCCAGCTGTGCACCCCCAGCCTACTCACTGGCAGGGCAGTCTATGAGTTGCAGAAAAGGCCTTGTGTAAGCACTGTTCAACAATAAATAAAACATCAGTGCTTTACCAACACTGTTTTCATCACAAATCCAAAACATAGCAGGGTACAAGCTACTATGAAGAAACTTAACTCTTTCCCAGCCAAAACCACACTATAATGCTTGAATTTAACTTGAAATCTTGCAATTGTTTAATCAAATTCTTCATATGGAGTTTTCATTTAAATGTTTCTACTGGTAGGTTGTGCGAAGTTTTCTAAAAACCTCATTCGTTTTTGTGATTAGAAGTGACCGATTTCTCTCATTTGTTAGGTTAAATACAGTTGGTAAATCAAAGTTTTCTTTGGCTACCAATGTCTGAAAATAATCTTCCTCAGGGCTCTAAGGTGTGTGTGTGTGTGTTTATGCAGGGTATATAATAATTTCAGGTTTAACCTGATGTGGGTGTCTTGCTTAATCACAGCCAAATTACATGTTACCAGTGTGATGCTACCCTTGGAAAAACAGATACCTTGCCCTAATACACTGTAGAGTTGTATTTCCAATAAAATTAGCAACAGCATTAGTATGGCATCATCTAAAATATTGTATATAATTTCATTTGCTTGTGGTCCAGGAAGTGGTAGTCAAAATCTGTTAACAAGTGAGCAGAGGAGCTATTATCATAATGGAGAGCTATCTTGTTAAGGTAGAGTAATGTTTTGAGACAAGACTTCCTAGCTATGTAAATGTGTAGGGGAGACAAATTTGTTTAAACAAATGGACAGTGTTGTCATAAGAATAAAGGGATATGCACTACTATTTAAGCTGCAAAAGAAAAAGTTCTTAAACAGCCCAGTGTCTTGCAGTAGTAGTGAGCGAACCTGTTTGTTTGTACTGTTTAGAAGTTAGTATATTTTTTGTAATATTAGAATGAATTTCGATGAGCAAGTGTGTTACTTAGTCCTGTATTTGAAATACTTGATTGTTACTGTTTTTGCTTAATCCTAGGCACAACAAAACCTGTGAACTGGCCCAAGCCAGTGTATATGCTGGACTCGGAGCCTGACAACAATGGCTTTATCAATGAAGACTTCATTGTATGGATGCGTACGGCTGCTCTGCCAACATTTCGCAAGCTGTATCGTCTCATTGAAAGGAAGAATAATTTACAGCCTACCTTACAGGCTGGAAAATATTCTTTGCATATCACATACAGTATCCTTTGAAAAACCTTTGAAAGCAGCTAAGGACCTTAGCTGGGTTACATGGGTATATATTTGTGCAAGTTCAAATTGAACTAGCCTTTTTTCTTACCATCTCTTAAAAAAACAAAAAAAGATGGTATTGAGCTGTGGTTGAAAATTGCTACTGAGAGTTGGGTGCAGTAATTACCATCTTGTGCTTCTGTGCAAGTTTTTGTAGAATTAACTTGTGTGTGGCCTGTTAGAATGTGAAATCCAGTCCAATTTTTAAGCTTCATAAATGAAATGACTGGATTAGACTTACACTCTTTAATGTAAGTGCAGTTTTAGTCATAACTTTCTTAAGCTATTTTGTAGTTCATATAAAACTACATTCATATAAAACTACTTTTTTTTAACCAGGGTGAAAACATTCAGTTCAGTTAAAAAGAAAAAAAATCAACTCTTTAGTGGAGGCCTTTGTGAGGAGATAATGGAGATGTTAATCCTGGGGAAGATTCCAGTAGAATTTACCCAGTAGGCAAATTTTGGAGGACACTAGTGTCTTCTCTGTACGCTTAACTTGAATTCTCACAGGTGTATGGTCAGTCTTGTTCACTTTTTCTCACACATCATGTTTATGGGTACTTGCAGTCCCGAATGGCTGCCTCGTGGGATAGAGGCTAAAGTCTATGGATGGGAGCATTTCCATCTGATAATTTTGGGGCAGACTGCCTGCATTTTGGCTGACAGGAAGATACTTAAGCATAGTTCAGGTGATGCTTAGCCTTCAGGTGAGCAGATAAGGCTTCATGAAATCTGTTAAATGGCTTAAGTAACAGGTAGCTAGGTTCTAGTTTCTGCGAAATACTATATATGGGCACACTTTATTTACCTTTAGGTTGATAATGTGGCCAGTCCGCAGTGTGCATTGTTACTCATCAGCGTGTTCACTACTAATTCTTTGATGCCTTTCTGGGCTTTCCTATGGACTCTTAATTACTGTTTTGACACTGAAGGATGCTGAATATCTGGGAGAGACATTTGTCATGGGTGCAGGAATTAACATTAATTCAGGAGTTCAGGGCCTGCTTTGGGTCCTTCTGTGGCTCCATGTATTGTTGTCAGATTATTCTGTCCTTGTAGACTTGCTCCAGAGCAGCCTGCTCTGCTGTGCAATTACTCTAGTCTGTGTATAAAATTGAGTAGCTTCATAGTGAGAGGGAAATCAGATTGCTTGGGTGGTGTAAAGGAATTGAGAGAAGCAGGAAAAAGGAAAGAACAGAGGTAGTTGGTAGCCTAGAAATTTGAGAACTTTAACATCAGGGTGTAATGACAATAGGTGATCAAGGGCAGACTGACTTTGGAGGTCAGAAAAATGCCAGAGCTGTGGATCAGGTCAGGGAGGTCTGACATTCTATTTTGGACAAACTAAAGACTAGGTAGAAGTGCAGGAGAGTAGAGGAGGAGGGTTGTCATAGTTACCGAATTCTTAAAATTTGAAAGCACTTAATGATCTTTTAAATACTTTAAATACACTTTTAAATAGCTACTGCAGTATTCTCTTTGCTGTAAAACTGTGGGGAGTGCATATAAAACTGAATGAACATAAAGTCACTAAGAAAAATTTTGAACTAAAATAATATTCAAGAATTAAAATTCAGATTTCCCTCGTTTTATTGAAGCTGCTTTCAAAAAGCCACAAAATCATGCATTTACTCTTCCCTTAAAAAGGGCTTAACATCTCCCAATGTTGCTGTTTACACTTCCAACACTCAAAGACAGAAGTTTGTATTTGGAACCTGAGTGAAATAATACAAAAATTTCATGTGCCTGGCCACATAAAGCTAGATTTGGAAATGTGCTTCGTGTTTTCCTATATGTTTTTCAGATTATCCTGTACACAGTTTTGATGGACGAAAAAGAATGATCCTAAGCACCATCTCGTGGATGGGAGGCAAAAATCCCTTTCTGGGAATTGCTTACATCACTGTTGGGTCCATATGCTTCTTCTTGGGAGTTGTATTGCTGATCATCCATCACAAATACGGAAATCGAAACACCAGTGCAGACATTCCCAATTAATCTTGCATTCTGAAAACAAATGTACTGCATGTGCATCAAGGCCAGTCCAGAATGGACCCAGTTTTTGAAAGATAAATCTCTGCTTCTGTCACTTCTGAGACTGGGTACATAATTTTTATCTAAAGCTCCTTTTCCCATACTGTGGATTAACTTTTGAAAATGACGGGTATACAATTAGCTATATTGATTGTATCTCTGCCTATGTCAGAAACAATTCTTCTGATATTTGCCTCTAACTGGGCAGGCCACACGATGCATATAGTTCCTGTTCCCTTGATGCATCTGCTGCTTGTTCATGTGCTGTGTAATGTGGGTATGATTCAGTACATATAGATTGTGTGGAGAAAGACTGTTATAAGATACTGTAAATTGTTAACGTTCTGGAATTCAGGTGTCAGTGCTGTTGAAAGGAAAAGTCAAGTCTTAAACGTTTTTTCAATTTCCTGTCTTGTGTGCATGGGCTCTTACATTTCTTGCTGAGATTTTAATATATTTATATAAGTTGTTAAATATTTTTCCTGTGTCCTACCCACCTCTGTTATGTTAAATCCTTAAGCGCTGTGTAAATACCAGCACTCTGGGTTCTTTGTATATTTACAATATATGTGCCTGGCCAGTAAACTAGCATCCTATGAAGATATCGGAAAACCTATTTGTTAATTATCTGTGTGAGTCTCTTTTAAAGTTTCTTCTAAATTGAGAAATGTTTGTTTCAGGTAGAATCTACTTTTTTCTAATTTGCTTTAAGTCATATCCAATACTAGTTTACCCATTGTGCTTGCTGGTTTTGCTTTTTATGAGCAGCTCCAAGCGTTAATGAAGAAGAACCTAAAATGTTTTTTCTGTTCACAAATTGGGTGAATTCCTTTTACTGGAGGAGTTTCCTAATTTTCTTGAGGCATGTGTATTCTGAGCAGGCTTTGTTGTAAAGGAATTGTCATATATTTTTTCCTTATTTGGAATAAACACCACATTAATTTTTTGCAGTGTTAAGAGTAAACTATAGAAATTCAGAAGTTGAGATGGTGGTAACCTCTTTTCATTGAAATGCAGGTTGAGCTTGCTGTGAAACCTAATTTAAAAATTGCCATTAGAAGCAATGTGTGGGTTAGTGTCTTAAATCAAATTACAGAAGGGTTTACTTTTAGGTTAATTCAAAGGTAACTGTAACCTGTAAAATATTACTTTTTGGTGACTTTTTTTTAGATGATGCACAGAAATTGTAATGTATATGGTGGAGATCACTTTATATGCAACTAGCTTGATAAAGTATTGAGTATATTAAAAAAGACTTAATAAATTCTGCAAACCATTTAATAAGAGATTTTATTTTGTTCTTGAACATGCATTTATTTTCATCTGGATGAAAAGACATATTCTCATGAAGTATGAATGCAGCTTAAGTGAGTTGTATTTCTGGGATTACATATTTGTTACAAAAAGTTGTTTATTTGTGGTCCAATAGGTTAATCTATAGCCAGCTTTAAATAACACTTAATTTATCACATAAACACATGACCAGTTTTACTGAATTACTTGTGTAATCTTTTTAAGCTAGCAGTTTAAGTGTGTAAATCTGTATAAACTGTGCAATGAGGCAACGTTTCCAGTGTGCTAGCTTTTTGTAAGTCCATATAATAATTTGTTAGCATAGTACAGTGTGGCAGCACAGGACTTTAAATAGTCAAAATACATTAAGATTTTTATTTAGTGTTGTATCTATATTGCTGGAATTATAGAATAAGGTATGTACCTTTGTATATTGCAAGGCATAAGACTCGCACAAAATGTTAAACTGGCTTTCATCTGCAGAGTAGTTGCTAATCCAAAATGTAGTAAGGGGATGTCTCCCAGTTACTGGTTATTAAAATATTTTGATTTTTAAACTTTGTGTTTGTCATTTGAAATGCAAATATATTCTTCTTGATTCAAAATCCCTGTCTTTTTCCAAGTAGGAAAAGCTGCTTTTTGGGTTGTGTTCAAAATTTTAAAAAAAGTATTTTTCTATCTTAAAATATTTTTCAATGCCTTACCTTTTTCCTACTGACTATAGCTGTCTGCTGCTTTGATCTTCTCAATGAAGTGCACCAGGATGAGAATTGCTATCTGTTGTTTTGTTACAGTTAAGCTATTTTGCTGAGAGCCTGTAGCAGTAAGTACTTGTCAGGCAGTATGCCTGACAGACAGTGTGTCTGAGGAGCTTAAAATGCTTGTAAGAGCTTAAAATATTAGGTCAAACTTGTAAACTCTTCCTTCACTCATGCTTGTTTGTCTTGATGTCATGTTGATAACTATGGAGATCCTTGGATTTTGTATTTCTTACAAGTTGCCCATATGTCATGTGTTCAAAGATGAAACCGTGACATCCCTATCTGACATTTCTTAGGGTGGTGTCACTGGCCCGGTGCTCTGTGTCATGCGCTGAATTTGGATTTGACCACCTGTGACCTGGTTCTTTAGTGGCATAGAATCATAGAATTGTTTAGGTTAGAAAAGACCTTTGAGATCATCCAGTCCAACCATTAACCTAACATTACCAAGTCCATCACTAAACCAATTAAGGGTAGAGTAGCAATTCCATGTTTCCTGGCTTGGTGGCTGGATTATTTATAATGAAAGTAAAAACTAGGAATCATGGAGGTATTTGTTACCAGGGTTCAGAAATACAAAGAGCAATGCCTCTGATTTCTGAGTGCCAGTTAGACACTTTCTGAGTCTTACCCAACAGCAGCAGTGCCCAAAGTGTGAGAAATGATAAGCTTTCTGGAGGCTGCTGCTGTTATGAGGGTCTACTTACGAATGAACCTTTCCTGGAGAGAGTAATTTGGGAAACTAGGATATGTCCCTGTCTTATGCAAGACCTCTCCAAACAAGTTCTCTTGTGTGAGACTAACTTATGGGGTTGTTTTAAAAAAAAAAAAACAAAACAAAAAACCAACAAAAAAAACCCCTACACTCCTGTAACAAAGCAGATTGTCACCACAGCTTTTTTTTTTTTTTAACTGCATCAGGCTATTTGGGGAGCTGTCAATTGTGCTTTGCTGAGCCAGAGGGAAGAGTTACCAGCTTACAACAAATGTGAAGGATTCACATTTGCCTTTGCTTTCACAGCCTTTGCCTCTCAAGGTCACACTGGTACTGAAACTAGGTTCTCAGCAACACTGTTTTCTTTAATCAAGCATGTTAAACCTTGAAGAGTGCAAGCCTTGTCTTTTTCTAGAAATCCCTGTGGGAGGAAAGGCCATGACAATCTAGGGTCAAGTAACATCTGCAAGCGTATATTATCTGCTTGAATCCATCAAATAGAGCAATCAATGTGGCTGGCCTTTGGATTGGATTCACAGGAAGCGTTATTGACTGCACCTTTCTCTCAGATGCCCTACTTGCAGTGGGAAAATAAGGCTTACAATGTCTATAGACAGACAGATGTCCAAGAGTGAGCTGAAGTGAGTGTCTGGTGGAAGAATGTGACTAAGCCTAAAGCAGAATGTACCTATTGTTACTTTATAAAAAAAAAAAAAAAAAAAAAAAAAATAGTTACTGATTGGAATGCAACCACTGAAGACAAAGAACAAGGTGTAACCATAGAGTAATCTGGAAGCACTGCAAATGATTCTGATCTTCAAAGTTCCCATGACAAGAATATGGTTTCTGATCTTGCCTGAAAATTTGTGATCTACCCTTGGTACTACGTAAGTTTGTATTATTTTTTTTTTTTCTAATAGAAGTTTGATATTTGTGTTACCTGGGGTTGTTCCTGTAACTGAACTAGCTAGCTATGGTGAGTTAGAAATGAAGAGGGCAACAATGCAAAGGCCTTCAGGAAGGTCTGCAATATCAATCTTAAAATCAAGCCAGTCCCATGAGGGTTTTATATTGACCTAGTCAGTGAGTTAAACCCCCCCCACCAAAAAAAAAGCCAAACAAACACAAAAAAACCCAACACTCCAAAATGTTCCAGATATCGAATACTTGTCTGTATTGAACAGCCTGCCAAAAATTTTCACTTTCAAAGTAGGAGTAAAAAAAATGTGAAAATCTAAGCCAATTTTATTCCTGCTCTCTTCTTAGCCATGTGGCCAGTTTATGGAAGAGGCTGCTTCTAGTGATGTGAAAATGGCCTCTGAGGTAGAAAGCCCAGTTGCAAAAGTTCCTTTTTTTGTAGTAGTAGTAGTATTAAATTTTCCTCAGATCAGCAGAAGTATTTTCATGTAAAAATACCCTATGTTCTAGCTCACAGAAACTGTTCTGATCACTGTATTGCCTTCTCTGCCTAAATGTGAAGTCTAATCTTACTTGACAGTTTCAATTAAGACTAAAGTCCATTACAAAATGCCCTGATAAGAATTAGCAGGTCCTTATATGACCTGAGTCTCAAATAAGAAGCTACCTTCCTGGAAGCCTCTCATTCCAAATGTGCTCAACCTGTGTTTGAAAACAAAGTAACACTGTCCATCATTTGAGTTATGCCAACTGCTGCTAGAAAGTCTGAAGTTGGAAAATTACCTTTCTCATTTCCTGTTGGGAATGAACTGAAGAGGAATAAAAGCATAAGTCAATAATTAATGAAGCTCAAGAAGTTTAAAAACAAAAAAAACCCTGAAAGAAAGCAGGTGGGGTTGTTTCTCACCAAACCCTGATTTCAGACAAAGATGACATAGAAGAAACAAATCAAGCAAACCGCATACCAGATTTATGTATGAGTTTAATTGAATTTGCACCTGAGCAAGTGGATTGTGCTCAAATCTTGCAAAATAAAATGCTGAGATGCTTTAAGTAGTATTAGAGGGCCAGGGATGTAATTAATGACCTCATTAATTACTTTATGAAAATGGGAAAGATTGGACTGTGCTATTCTTGGAAGAAATGCAAATATGATTGCCTCCAGGTTTGCCTACTGAGGTCTGAGTTACGTGGTTGAAGCTAGTGTATGCTTCACAATAGATGCTTGTAAACTTCAGAACAAATCTCTCTCCTGTCAGCAAGTTCTTTTAATGCAATTTTAGTGTATTATACAACTTAAAGTAACTTGGAAAATGGTTATAGTACGATAGTGTGTTTTCTCTCTTCATACACAATGTCATTTTTAACTGAGTTAGTCAATTATTTTGTTTGCAAGAAAAAAATCAAAGCAGTGGGCAGGCAAGACTCAGGAAGAGACTTAAAAAAATTGCCATTTTCAGCTGTCCTGCTGCACCAGGGGTTTCCACTTCCACAGCTGGGTTGAATGTTTACTCAGTCATGTGATCTTTTTAGTAGGGTTTATATACCATTCTATTACTGGTTTAAGAGGTAAAAACTTTTGTGATTTTTTTTTTTTTATTAACATATAGATTAACAGCCCTGTTTTCTTTCTGGCTTAAACAAAACTGTTTAACAATGAGTTTTTATTAACAATTTTATTATTCTTCAATACAACACATGCAAAAGTTACTCTATCCTGTTAAGAAAAAAGCAGTCTGAGTTTGCTTCTATGTGAAATACCCTCACCCTGAGGCAGCAAGTTGCCATTTCTCTTTCCCTCAAGTTTCCATTTCTTCATAAATTAGTCAATGCTGAAGACAGCA